TCTCTCTCTCTCTCTCTCTCTCTCTCTCTCTCTCTCTCTCTCTCTCTCTCTCTTTCTTTCTCTCTCTCTCTCCCTTTGGTTATTTCTCGCCCCTTCGGTGGGATGGAAGGGAAACGGTTGGGGGGGTTGTCCCTTCTTTTAAAACCTAACATTTTATTTTAGCCGATAGCCGAAAGCATCAAATTCAGAGACAGTTCGGGATGGAAGGACAGAAGAGAAGGGGAACCTCTCTTTCTCGCCCCGCTTTTCATCCTTACGTCGTCATCGCCATCTCCGCTTCTTCCTGTCGGCTGGGCCCTTGGCCTGCAGGGAGCAGAGGCCCCTTAAAGTGGCCAAACCGGGGCGGTGGGGGGTGGGGAGGAAGGAAGAAGCTCCACAAATGCCCCTCCTCACACCTAGAGGGAGAGAGAGAGAGAGAGCGTCATCTCTCAGCCTTCCTAGGCTTCTAGTCCTCAAGAGAGGACGCGGAGAGGTGATGCAAAGCGAAAGGTTGCGTTGGGGTTTCCCCAAGGGACTCACACCTGGATTGCACACTCCCCGCTCTTCCTGTGTGTGTGTGTGGACCCCCCCCCAACCTCCCCAAAGTGAAAGCTGCCTCTCTCTTTTTTTCCTGCTTCCTTTTGCAACGTCCTGCTACGGGAGTCAGAGCTACAGGCGCATGGAGGTGAAAAGGGGGGCGGCGCGGGGAAGCGGTTGAGCTCTTCCGTCCCCCGATTCAGTGGAGAGTTTCGCCGATCGTCGTCGTCGGTCCTTTGGCGGGGGGGCGGCCCATCCGTTGCACTAAACAGCCTCAAACGGACACGTTGGGCTCCGTTTTTGCTCAATGGAGCTCGTTGGCTCCTGGTCCATTCCAACCCCACCCCCTCACAAAACTATTTGTAAAGTGCCGTGGAGGGTCAGCCACCACCCCTACCATGTCAATAACATTTCGCCTTTTGCGCATGTCCTGTCCCACCGCGAAAAAAAGCCACCGATCTCTGTGGACGGCTGGTCTTCGCGCCCAACATTTTACCGAAAGTGTCTCTCTCTCTCTCTCTCTCTCTCTCTCTTTTCTCGCGTGCCCCGCGCTGTCCAGAATCTGCTCCCCGGGAGGGGGGGGCTGAACGAGGGAAGCCCCATCAGGCCCGGCCCCGAGCCCAGGTGGGTGCACGGTTGTTCCCCTCCCCCGGATTTGGGAGTTGGGCCCCTGGGCCACGTCTCCCTGCGCCGCTCCTCCCGGAGGATACCAAGCAACATCTGGACGGCAGCTGCTCGTTTGATCCCGGCCCGTTCGTTAGGAACCCACTTCTTGTTGGCTGTTGTTCTTAACTCTCTAATAAATGTTCGGGTTTGACCGACCGCCTCTGTAGGTTTTTACTGGGCCTGAGTGGCCTTTCCCCTTGCTGGGCTGCGCCGCCGTTCTCTCCCGGCTTCCTTCTGGCGGCTCCGGAGGATTGTTCCGTGCCTTTGTGAGTCAGTTTCCTACGCAGGATGCACACACTCGCACTTGACCCGAGTGCAAGCAGCGCGATCTAAGGCCAACCGCTCGAGCATTTCCAGCGACACTGACAGGGCAAGCCAGTCGAATATCAATGAGAGCAAACCCCCTTAGTAGCACGGATGACGTTACTTAGTTTGGTAATGAAATGTTTGGAAGAAAACCACCAAGTTCAGCGAGCACCAAAGACCCCACAGTCGTTCTCCTCCTCCTCCTTTCCTTCCTTCCCCTTCCCTTGCTTTCTTCATCCTTCCTTCCCTTTCCTGCCTTCTTTTCCTTTCTGTTCTCCTTCCTTCCTTCCCTTCCTTCCTCTTTCTTTCTTCCTCTTTTCCTTTCCTGCCTTCCCTTTCCCTTCCTTCCTTCATCTTTTTCCTTCCTTTCCTTTCCTGCCTTTCTCTTCCTTTCTTCATTCTTTCCTTTTCCTTCCCCTTCTTTCCCTTTCCTGCCTTCTTTTCCCTTCCGTTCTCCTTCCCTTCCTACCTCTTTCTTCATCTTTTCCTTTCCTGCCTTTCCATTCCTTTCTTCATCTTTTCCCTTCCTTTCCTGCCTTCCTTTCCCTTTCCCTTCCTTTCTTCATCCTTTCTTTTTCCTTCCTTCTACAAACCCCACTTACTTCTAGCACTGGTGACATTACCTAGTTGGGTCGTGAAAAGTCTGCAAGGAAGCAACAAAGCTCAGAGATCATCCAGGACTCCCTCCGAAGTCTCTGCGTTACTCTCGGCTGCCTTAGCATAAACTCTGCAAGCCCACGGATAATCTGCAGGCTGTTTTGTCGCTGCAGGACTTGCCTTCAAGAGAATCCAATCTTACTTTTAAAAACCTTGTTCCTATGGTCCAGAAGAACCTTCTGGAGACAGGCTGACTCAGTCCTCAGAAGGACGGTCGGATAGGTGTTCTGATCCAGGCTTCCCAAGGTCAGGAAGCCAACTCCGTCCCGATAAAACCCTTTTTATTTAGGTTAAAGGGAATTCCTCCCCAGCCAACAATCTTTCAAGAGAGTTCACAACTACAGACCTTTCATCAGGCTTGGAGAGTTGCCAGGCCGATAGCTTCCAAACGCCACACTGTAGCAGCAATTACTTGGCAAGAAGTCAGGAACAGACTTCCACACTAACGAACCAATTGTCTCCTGCAAACCCCACTCCCCCTTTCATTCCTCTTTATTCCCTATGGGAAGGGCCATTCATCGTCCACCTCCCAAGTCAACCCTTGTTCCTTAACTGTTCCCTTCTTCTGGCAGCTCTGCGCATGCACACATCGGGAACAGGCTCCAGCTGCTCTTCTTCCCCACTGATCTCTGACTCCGAAGGCAGCTGATAACTGTCGGACGGCCCTGGCCCCATCTCTGCCTCCAGACCAGAGCATCCATCAGAGTTTTCCCCAGACTCCAGGACTGGCCCTGGTTCCTCCCCAACCTCCTCACTCTCTGACTCTGGCGGGCCACAATAGAACCTTCTGGAGACAGGCCGACTCAGTCCTCAGAAGGACAATGGAACAGGAATGTCCGGAATCAATACGAGTGATGGGATTCAGAGCCCCGGTTTCTACTCCCAACTACAATTTTTAGAGAAATTTGCACAAAACACACAAATGAGCCGCAACATCCCAGTTTCTCGTTTTAGTTCAGAAGGATTTGTCCCACCCAAACAGCAAGTTCCTAAGCACAAAAGTTGGACCACCAGGCCGGCACCTTAAGAGCCTCGTTCCGATGAGAAGAAAAACGGGCAGATTTATTTGGCGAGCTTTGCGCACTTTGAACAATAGGCGTGCCTGTGGCAATAGGCCAAACGTCGCTCCGCAAAGATTGATTTTTCTCTCTCTCATGCCACCAGCCAGCAGCAAACCTCTTCGTGGACTTAGAACAGTTCACTTAGTGGCCATTCGAAGTGACAGCGGCATTGGAAAAAGGGATTTACAACCTTTTTTCACACTTACAACCGTTGCAGCATTCCTCAGGGTCACATGATTTACATTCAGATGCTAATGTCAACTGATCAAATATTCCCATGATCTTTTTAGAGTTGCCATCAGAAAGGGAGGAGGGGGAGCAATTCGGCAGCTTAGAAACTGAAAGTTCACTCCATCAATGTTTTCAAAGATAGTAGCTAGGTGACCGAGGTTTCTGCCAGGAAAAATGCTAACTGACTCACATTTATGATGGTTCCATGATTCCCCCTTTCATATTCGCTTAACTCCTGCGGCAAGAAAGGCCGTAAAATGGGGATCAAGCTTGCCTCACAAATGTCCCAGCGACATAACATTTTGGGCCTGAATTGGGCGTCGTAAGTTGAGGACTACCTTTACAGTGGAATTTGGCCATTTTGCCCCAGGGTTTTTATGTGTTGGAGGTGGTCGGGGGCGGTGGGGGCTGGGTCTCAGACCCTCCTTTTTACTGCTTGATCTCGGCTTGGTGCTCTGGAGATTCGCGGAGGCAGCATCCCGGCTTGTCGTCCGGCTTCCGGTAATACATCCTGCCCAGGACCGTGAGGACAAAAGTTTCCAGGATCAAGAGCTGGCAGTGCATTTCTTGGAGCAAAAGATTGAAAAAAGAGAAAAAAACAGCAGGATTATAGTTGTCTCCTGGACTCAGGTGGGATTGAAATTTTTTAACAATCAGTGCTGTGGGCATGGCTAGGTGGGTGTGGCCCTGTGACTGGGTGGGCATGGATTATTATTTTTTTTGCAGTATTTTTTTGCCTCGTGGGCCGCATGGAAGCCTCCTGGGGAGCCATCTTGCTCCCATAAAGCTTCCTTGGGGACCAGGAAGTCAAAAAAACAGCGCAGGAGGATCTTGAAGCTCCCTCCCAGCACCCCTTTTTGCCTCTAGGCCTCAGAATAGCCTCCTGGATAAAGCAGTAAGACAGCGAGGGGAATCCTGGCACAGCTGATCATCGGAACAGCTGATCGTTGGAACAGCTGATCATCGGAACAGCTGGTCTTCAGAACAGCTGATCTTCGGAACAGCTGATCGTCAAAACAGCCGATTGTTGGAACGGCTGCTCGTTGGAACAGCTGATCGCCAAAAGCCGATTGTCGAAACAGCCGATCGTCGGAACAGCTGATCGTCGGAACAGCTGATCGTCGAACACAGCTGGACGTCAGAACAGCTGGTCGTCAGAACAGCTGGTCATCAGAACAGCTGATCCTTGGGAGGAGAGAAAAAAAGAAATACCTTAAGGCAGTGATGGTTAACCTTTTTGGTGCCAAGGGCCCAAAGCATGCGCCCATCCACGCAAATGCACAGGTGCGTGCCCCAATCCCCAAAATGCCATGCAAGCCCCCTCCGCGCATGCGCCCCTGCCCCCATGCATTCCCTGCACGTGTGCCCCCCCTCGTTCCTGCCTTCCCTAACCTCGCAATTTCTCCCTGCTCACCCAGAATGTCTTCCTGCCCTGGAGAGGCACCTGTGGAGGGTGGAACATGAGGCGATCAGGGAAGGCACAGGTGGCAGGAATGCAGGAGAGAGGTAGGGCCTGCTGTCGGGGAAACTGCGGAGATCGGTGAAGGCCCTACCCTGGTGCATGCGTGGCAGAGACCCGAAGAGCAGCTGGCCGGTGGGAGGCGCATGCATGCGCAGGGGAGCTGGGCTGGCAGGAGGGCTGGCGTGCCCGCAAAGAGAGCTCAGGTGGCACACACGGCATAGGTTCGCCATCACTGCCATAAGGAGTGACGGGGCAGGGAAGAACGCAGTCAGCGATGTCGCGCATGCACGCAATGTCGCGCATGCACAATAAGGACTGACTAGGCACGGAGGGCAGAGAGAGGCAGGGCCCACCAGGGGCACAATTTGCCAGTTCTCCGAACTGCGCGAATCCTAACAACCGGTTCTATAGAACCGGTCCGAACCGGTCAAATCCCACCCCTTGATTCCTGGTCCTCTGAAAGCAGCTGCCTCCCGCCCGATGCTACCTTCCGGAAGTTTCCTGGACTATGGTTCCCAGTGGCCGTGCTGGCTGGGAATTGTAGTCGCTGCATACACGGAAGGTGCATTTGACTTTGCGAGCTGCTGGCGTTTGCTGCCCACTACAGGTAGCCTGGACTTACGGCCACAATTGAGCTTGAAATTTCTGTCGCTAAGCAAGACATGCTAAGCGAGTTTCCCCCCACCCCCCATTTTAAGACTTTTCTTGCCACAGTTAGCTACCCACGCATATTTTTGTTGGTTGCAGCATCTTGGGGTTACATGATCCCTTTTGCAACCTTCCGATAAGCCAAGTCAATGGAGTAAGTCGTATTCACTTAACAACTGTGTGACTCACTTAACGACGGTAGTGATTCATTTCACAACAGTGGCAAGAAAGATCGTAAAATTGGAGTGGGGGAAGCTCACTTAACTCTCTCACATAGCAATAGGAATTTTGGGCTCAATGGTGATCATCAGTCAAGGACTACAGCCCTGCAGGTGATAATCACAATTAATTGCAAATATTCCTCTAATGAATCACCACATTTCTTTCAGTATACTCCATTTTTTTTCTCATCACCTTACTTAGAAAATTTTGGGCATCCTGGAAGTTTTATTCTAGCACAGGGTGAAGAATGATGCACTTCAACTCCCAGCATTCCTCAACCAGCCATGGTGGACTTCAAATCCCAGAATTCCTCAGCCAGCCATGATGGACCTCAACTCCCAGAATTCCTCAGCTAGCGGTGATGGATTTCAGCTCCCAGAATTCATGAGGCAGCCATGATGGACTTCAACTCCCAGCATTCCTCAACCAGCCGTGATGGACTTCAACTCCCAGCATTCCTCAACCAGCCATGATGGACTTCAATTCCCAGAATTCCTCAGCCAGTCATGAGGGCTCAAGGAATTCTGGGAGTTGAAGTCCACAAGTCATAAAAGGGCCATCAGCCCCCACCTCTGTTCTAGCAGATCTAGAGCCCAGATTTAGGTTGAGAGAAGCTATGTTGTACAACAGCATTGTGGGAAATATGCACAGAGGATTCTGGGAATTACAAGAATCGGAATCGCAACTTATGGAGAGGAGATCAGGTTGTGGAAATCTTGATTTAACACACACACACACACACACACACACACACCAAAAAACTTACGCTGGCCTCGGGCTCTGGAGGAGAAGGGTGGGGAGCAAGCTATTTGACCCCCGTTGGCCAAGATGCTGAAGATGGACGGCTGCAAGGCCACCAAAATGAGGAGGACCTGAAAACAGATGAAGCCAAAGAGATGTTGAACCAATTTCAGATATCTAGGAATCAGAATAGAGCTGGAAGGGACTTCAGAGGTCTTCTAGTCTGACCCCCTGCTCAGGCAGGAAACTTTATTCCATTTCAGACAAGTGGCTGTCCAGTCTCTTCTTTTAAAAAAACCCCCAGAGATGGAGCACCTACAACTTCTTGTGGCAAGCTGTTCCACGGGTTAATTTCACTCTCTGTTAGGAAGTTTCTGCTTCGTTCTGCGACCATTCATGCATATAGTTTTAACCCTCCAGGGCCTTTAATCCTCCTTGTTGCCCTTCTCTGCACTTTCTTCCAAAGTCTCAACATCTTTTTTTTTGTAATGTGGGGACCAAAACTGGACGCAGGATTCCATGACTGGCCTTACTACACAACAGCGGTGGGACTCATCTCCGGGGTGTGTGTGTGAGTCTGCCTACCCAGATGAGGTGGACCAACGGTTGCTTTTGTGGTGTGGAGACAATAACTTGGTCCTCAACACCAATAAGACCAAGGAGCTGATAGTGGACTATATAGAAGGAACAGATCAGACCTCCAGCGCTTTCTTATCCAGGGAGACCGAGGGGAGCAAGTGGCCAGTTTTAAGTTTCTGGGTGTTACCCTAAAGGAGGACCTGACCTGGGGGGGCTCACATTGCAGCCCTGGTCAAAAGGGCCCAGCAGAGATTATACGACCTGAGGCTTCTCAGGAAACAAACAACTGGATGCAAAACTGCTGGTGACCTTCTACCACTGCACCATGGAGAGTATCTTAACTTACTCCACCTCTGTATGGTTTGCCAATTGCACAGGGGCAGATAGGACAGCACTCCAGAGGGTTTAATGTCATTGTCCAGAGGATCCTGGGTTGCCCTCTCCCCTCTTTGGAAGAGCTTTAGAGCTACCACTGCCTTAAGAAAGTCCAAAACATCCTCAAAGATCCATCTCATCCTGGGAACCCTTGTTTTGAACTATTACCATCTAGCAAACGGTACAGAATAATAATAAAAACAAGGACAAACAGGCTGACAAACAGCTTCTATCCCAGGGCAGGAGCTCTGTTGAATTCTACTGTCTAGTGCAATATTCATGCAATATCAGGGGTTTTCCATTCAATTGAATAGGATGTGAAGGATGTGTGTTTGTGTTTTATTTTCATAGTCATAATATACACTGAAGGTGGCATTTGATTTTGTTGTACGAGGCGCCATGACAATAAAGTAAACTAAAATTAAACTGAAGTAAGGCTTTATTAAAACGTTACTAATAATTCGCATGATTTTGGTTCTAGGCCTCTTGTTTATACAACCCAGGATCGTATTAGCATTTGGGGGCTGCCGCCGCACATAGCTTTCTCATGTTTAAGGTATTGTCCAAGCGACCTTGATCAACATTGGCTCAACACACAAAGGCCCCATCTCCACCTCAAGACAACAATCGCCTCTCCTCATGGACAGGGTGTCCATGAAGAGCAAACAGGATGATGAGGGGTCTGGAGGCTCAAACATACGAAGAAGAACGGTTGCAGGAACTGGGCCTGGCTAGTCTAGGGAAGAGAAGGACCAGGGGAGACAGGAGAGCAGCCTTCCAATATTTGAGGGCAGAGTGGGTTGGACTAGATGATCTACAAGGTCCCTTCCAACTCTGTTAATCTAACTTTAATCTGATTTTAATGAACAAAAGGACCAGGGGAGACAGGAGAGCAGCCTTCCAATATTTGAGGGGCTGCCCCAGAGAGGAGGAGGAAGGGGGTCAAGCTATTACCCAAGGCACCCGAAGGCCAGACAAGGAATAATGGATGGAAACTGAACAAGGAGAGAGATTCAACCTGGAAATAAGGAGAAACTTTCTGACGGAGAACAATCCACCCATGGAACAGAAGTTGTGGGAGCTTCATCCCTGGAGGCTTTCAAGAAGAGAGTGGACTCCCATCGGTCAGAAATGGTGTAGGGTCTCCGGCTTGGGCTTGGGGGTTGGACTAGATGACCTACAAGGCCCCTTCCAACTCTAGTTATCTGTTATCTGAGTCCTTCGTTTACAAACCATGCATTTAGTGACAGTTCCCAAGTGGGCCAGAAAGGGATGCTATGTTTTATTTCATAACAACCGTCGCAGCACTTCCAGGGTCACGGGAAGCAAAATTCAGAATGCTTGGGCACCTGGTTCATATTTGTGACGGTCGCGCTGTCCCGAGGTCACGTGATTCCCCTTTTTTTTTTTGAAAAGTCAAAAATCAAGGGAGAAGCAAGATTCGCTTAACGACGGCAGTTATTCGCTCGATAACGATGGCGAAGAAAGGTCGCCAAATGGGAGCAAAAGGCACTGATTCAATTGTCTCAGACATTTGGAACACCTGTATGTTGAATGGGGTTTCAAGTAGAACTAATCAATCAGGATAGAGCTGGAATAGACCTTAGAGGTCTTCTAGCCCAATCCCCTTGTCATGTCCCCGTTGGAATCTGATTTTGAGAGGGAGGCCAGACAGCTGACAGAGAGCGGGGAGTATGGCCCCATTGGCTGTGGAGGAAACTGGAGAAGGTCAAAGTCCAGCTGGGCAGAGCAGGGGAGGGGTAGAACAAGGGAGAGGGAGTTCAGAGGAAGACCCAGGCCCACCCCACTCTTCATCCTAGGGCACACAGGGAAGAACGGAGAAGGGACCAATGTGGGTTGCGTGAATTACGGGGGAGAAAAGGGCCCTGATTCCCTTCATTAGCTGCAGCTGGGAAAACAGTGTTTAAAAAGAGTGTTTGCGCACAGCACCTTGCTGGAAGCAAAGCGTGCATTATCTTGGTTTGTCAAGTCTTATCTGGGTTCCGGGCATCCTCCCAACTGTGTGTGTTTTGTTATCTTTTGAGTTCTGCAATTCCTGATTTTGCCCTGTCGGGTTAATTGCTGCAGTGTGGTTTGTGTTTGGTTTTATTTCGATGTACTTTGGGTTAGGACTGAATTTCTTCCCTTTAAAAACTGTTCTTGGGAGAGTTTTTTTCTCCAGACGAAGATAACTTGGACATTGGGGGGCCAAGTTGGAGGGATGAAAGGGACTTTACCTACATTTGGGACTTGGTTGCTTTTGTGACACGCCCCTTTGGGTCATCACACCCTTACTCAAGCAGGAGAACCTATACCCGCCTAACGTGTTTCCCTGAAAGTAAGACCCTGTCTTATTTTTAGTTACTTTTTGCCACCAAAAAAGGCACCAGGTTTTATTTTCGGGGGACGTCCTCCACTGACTAACCTCACTGGTGCACGTTGCTCCTGGCCTCCTTTTCGCTGTCAGAGGCCTTCAAGAATTAATTCTACATCCGGCAAGACTTTCCTGAAGGCCTCTGCATCCCATAATAGAGCTCTGGATCGATCCAGAGCTTTCTTATCAGCTCCAGAGGCCTTCAGGAAAGCCTGGCCAGCCCTGCCGGCTGCAGAAGAAATGGGCTGGCAAGGCAGGTGCCGGGATGTGCGAGGCCTGGCTACACCTGTCCAAAGGTAAGTAGTAGGGCAGCTCCACCTGCCCCCATCCCCACCCTGGCTTAATTTTTACCCATCCACTCCGGAGTAGGCGGGATCTTAATTAGGGCTTATTTTGGGGGTAGGGCTTATATTGGGCGCGTGTGTAAAAACCAAGCTAGGACTTATTTTCAGGGTAGGTCGTATTTTGGGGGAAACGGTACAATTGAGCCCCAAATTTCTATTGCTAAGAGAGACATTTGTAAAGTGAGTTTTGCCTCATTATAAGACTTTTCTTGCCGTGTTTGTTAAGTGAATCACTGCAGCTGTTAAGTTAGTTGCACATAACCCTGGGACATAGAGATAGATAGATAGATAGATAGATAGATAGATAGATAGATAGATAGATAGATAGATAGATGAGACATTGATACATAGATGATAGATAGATTGATAGATGATAGAGATAGATGATGGATGGATGGATAAGAGAGAGAGGAGAGAGATAGATTAAATGAGAGATGAGAGATAGATAATAGAGATGGATGGATGAGTGCATGGTAGATAAAATAAGATAGGTAGGTGGGTAGAGGACTAGATAGGTAGGTGGTTGGTTGGTAGGTAGATAGATGATGGATGAGAGATAGAGATGAAAGATAGATGAGATCAGATAGAGATAGATAATACATATAGATGGATGGATGGTAGATAGAGATAAATGAGAGATAGGTAGGTAGATAGATAGATAGATAGATAGATAGATAGATAGAGTAGATATAGTACATAGATAGACAGACAGTCAGACAGACAGACAGATATAGTAGGTAGGTAGATAGATAGATAGATAGATAGATAGATAGATAGATAGATAGATAGATAGAGTGGATGGATGGATGGATGGATGGATGGATAGATAGATAGATACAGTAGATAGATAGATAGATAGATAGATAGATAGATAGATAGATAGATAGACAGACAGACAGACAGACAGACAGACAGTGGATGGACGGACAGACAGACAGACAGATAGATAAATACAGTGGGTGGGATCTTAATTGAGGCTTATATTGGAGGCACTGGTAAAAAGCAAGCTAGGACTTACTTTCAGGGTAGGTCTTATTTTCAGGGAAACAGGGTAATACCACTATTCCCTCCTATACCACTAGAATTACCTGGAAGCAAACGAATTTGCCCGTCATGTTCTGCTCCGCAAGGTGCGATTTGGCTTGCCGAAAGAGGATGGCCAGCGACCAGAGGGCAAAGAGGGTGGACACGCCAAGGGAGGTGTTGATCCAAAGGGCCACGCTTGTGGCTGAAATCTAGAGGCAAGAGAAAGCGATGCCAACAAGGCTGAACCCCAGAGGCTCCTGGTCTGGACCGTTGGAGAGATCCTGGATCAGGGGGGTCCCCAAACTTGACAACTTTAAGACTTGTGGACTTCGACTCCCAGAATGCCCCAGCCAGCCAATTCCTGTTTCTTTTTTCTCTTAACCCCCTAAAGTGGAGAGAGAGATTGCAGAGGAAGGGATGACAAGAGAGTAAGCTATGCTGGCTGGGGAGGATTCTGGGAGTTGAAGTCCGCCCACCTTAAAAGTGGCCAAGGTTGGAGACCCCTGTACTGGATGGATGCTACTCTAGCTTTCATCCTAACCCAAATCCCAAAATGGAGAAATCTGATTTCACTAGAAGAAATAAATGGTCGAGGCTGAGAAACTGACTGGACCCTGTTATCAAACTGACTGGGAAGCTAGAAGAGACTTAAGACCATGCAGGACTGAGGATACGGGTCCCAAATAGGCTTTGAAGTGAAGCCCACTCCCAGGTAGCCCCCCCACCCCATCTGCCCCCTTTAAAGCAGCTGCCTTTTCTTCCGGGCTCGGCCCTCCGTTTTACAAATCTGCAAAGCTCCCTGTTGGATTAGAATCCAAGTCAAGAAGCCCCTGGCGCTGATGATGTTAGCTAGTTTGGTAATGAAATGTCTACAAGGAAACAACCAAGCTCAGGAAGAACCAAGGCTTCCACAGTCGTCGTCCTCATTCCTCCTCCTCTTCCTCCTCCCCGCAAACCCCACTCCCTTCTAGCACTGATGATGTTGCCTAGTTGGGTCATGAAACGTCTGCAAGAAAGCCACCAGGCTCAGAGAGGACCAAAGAGCCTGCAGTCATCTCTTCTTCTTCTTCCTCCTCCTCCTCCTCCTCCTCCTCCTCTCCACAAATCCCACTTCCTTCTAGCACTGATGAGATATCCTACTTGGGTTATGAAATGTCTGCAAGAAACCAAGTTCAGAGACCACTAAGGACCCCACAGTCTTCCTCCTCCTCCTCCTCCTCCTCCTCCTCCTCC